ATGGGTGGACCAGGGCATGGGTGGATCAGGGCATGGGTGGGGCAGGGCATGGGTGGATCAGGGCATGGGTGGATCAGGGCATGGGTGGACCAGGGTATGGGTGGGGCAGGGCATGGGTGGGGCAGGCCATGGGTGGATCAGGGCATGGGTGGATCAGGGCATGGGTGGCGCACGCCCCCTCTCGGGCCGCTGCCCACCGCCGGGTCCCCACGCACCGCCGGAGCCCGGGGCCTTGGGAGAAGGCGGTCCCCCGGCTTCCCCGTCAGGAGGCCCCCCTGGCTAGGCTGAAGACGCTGTACCCGCTAGTTCCCAGCCGATTAGTAGGCCAGAGCCCCGGCCATTGACCACGTCAGGGGTGCGGACGCCTCCCGGACGTCGGGGAATCCCCAGCTCCCCTCCCTGCCGAGCCCCCTTCTCACCCCACCGGTTCGGCCTAGGATGGCTGTCCAGGAGCCGTCTTACCTCACTGTCCCCCAGGCCGGCTCGGGAAGCCTAACCGGGTGAGGACCGCGGGCTCCGGGCGGTCGGAGAGAGAGGAGCGCCCCCCGCGGCGGGTCACCGGCGCCTCGCCTGGAAGGAAGGCGACCTCTCCGCCCCCTCGAATGCCCCGCCCCCGACCCCGTCGGTCCCCACCCCGGCCCTGGCGCACACGCACAGATTCGGACCGGAGCCGCCCTTGGTGTCAGTGGGCTGGCTCCCGGGCCCGCCCCAGCTGTCGCGCTGTCTCGGCACCTGTCGGTCGGTGTGTCCCGGAGCCGGTACCCGTGACCCCGTCGGGGCCAGGAAGGCCATGGTTTCCCTGCCTGGGCGGCCGGCAGCCAGCTTGCTGCGGTTTTTGTTCCTGGGGCTGAGCGCCCTCGGTGAGTGAAACGTGGGACCGGGAGAGGACTTGGGCGCGGGTTGGGGTGACTCCAACCCTGAGGGAGGTGGGTTTGGGCACCGACGACCGAGTCGAACAGCGCTCCCGCCGACGCCTTCTCCCCTCTCCCAGCCCCTCGGGGCATCCCTGACTGGTGCTAACTAATCTCCCCGACCTCGCTCCCAGTTTGGGCGCGTGTGTTAGGGGAAAGCCGGGGTGAGGGCATCACCGGGATAGACCCTGCGAAGTCGAGGGTGACTTAGCCAATCTTACCCCACCTCCACCCCAGCAGAGCCGGATGAGCTGAGCTGCTGGATGATAACACTGGCTAAAGCGCTTAAAGACTTAACTCCAACCAGCCCCATTCCCTACCCCACAACAGGCACACAAGCCGATGCACAAGAAGCCGCGGAAGAATTCCCTGGTCCCCAGATTTGACAAGGCGCTACATTTCATGTCAATTCCCTAGTCCAGATCCTCCCTCTTACCCCCTCCCCTCTTCCTGCCCTGGGAATCAAGGGAGGTGCCCCAAAAGCACGACCGTGAGGTCATCTGGGACACAGGAAATGGGGGAGGGTTCAAATAGTGAGAGGAGAATTGTGACCCCCAAGAAGTCCACCACCCCTGTTGGTTCCCAGAGCCAGAAGGACAAGGGAAATGAGGACTAGAGCTGCAAAGAATTAGAGAAGGGAACCTTCTAGGATTCAGTATGTCTGGAGGGTGCTCAGCTCGTGGCGCAATGTGTCCCCACCTTTGGGGAGAGAAGGACCCAACAGGAACTAAGCCCATTATATACATTTCACTTGCTCTTCCCAGGCTTTCTCACCATGCCCTTCGAGGATCTAGAATGGGGGAGCAGGCTGCTTTTGGCAGGTCAGCCTTAGGTTGGAGGCCGCCAAGGCCTAAGACGGAGGAAGACCTGGAAGGCCATGGAGTGAAATCCAGCTGCAGTGTTGGGGACTGAGATGGGGAGCGCCCAACTCCCACCTTGCCCCCTTTAGGCTGGCCTTTGCCCCAGAGAAAGTGAGGCTCAAGGGCATCCTCCTGGCTGCACCAGAGACAGCTTCCTGCCCCTCTCCAGGTTCCCTCAAGTTCTCAGCGCCCCTCTCCCAACCTCGACCTCAGTTCCTCTTTCCCTTCTGCCCTGGTCATTCTACCCTGAACTTCCTCCCTGCTTCCTGCTGGGGCAGGAGGTCGCTGAAGCAAGGAAGGAAAATCTACGTTTGCTGCCTGGGCATCCTGGACGCCCTCTGCAGCTTGTCTGCACCCCTCTTTTTTCTGTCCCAGTTACGACTTTATCATACTGAAGGCCTTGTTCTACGTCCCTACCGGGTCGCCCCGGGTGTGGGGGTTGCCGAGCACCCACCGGCCACGCGAGGGTTAAATGGCGCTCCGGGCCGGCTCTCTGGGTGCTGTGATGGCCTCTCCGAAAGGCCCCTCTGCTCCGCGCGCTCCTCCGCGGCTCCGCGCCGCCGCTGCCCCTGGGGCGTGAGAAGCTCGCGGGGGGAGTTTCTCAGAGAGACTAAAAATAGGAGCCCTGGGGAGCGGGCCCATGTTTGCTCTCCTTCGGCCCTTGCCTGCGCCCTCAGTCTGGTCTGAGCCGGCCTGGAGGTCTCGGCTGCTCCGGTCTCCTTCGCTTAGACCCAACCACCCTCTTTTTCTCTCTCAACGGCCACCGTGGGCCGTGGGAGCCAAAAGGGCTGACAAGTTGAGGGGCTTCCCTCCAGCAAACATCCAGAACAGAGGGCGGGAAAACCTCAGGGCCCCCGGCAGCCCCTAGTTCCTGACCGCGGGGGTGGGTCAGTATGCGGCGGATTAACCAGTAAGCAAGGTAGGCACGGGCTAGGTAGGGGCGGATTTACTTAGTAATCTGTAGAGCACCATTTCACCTGTTTTCACCACTGCAGGTTAGTAAATAAGCTCGAAGTAAACCCGCGTCTACCTTGCTTATTGGGGGCCGCAGGGAGCATTTGCCCAGACCCCACTGAGCTCGTTTCTATGGATTTTAGCCCCTCTCTAGGTTTTGCAAAGTAAAATTACAAATGCGAGACCTGAGGGAGATCGCTGGGGCGCCTCTGGGGAAGGAAGCTCCAGCCCCTCTCGGGTCCAAGCAGGATTCTCTGCGGAAAGAATTTCTGGCCTCTGGGGTGGGGATGCTGGAAGAGCCGGCACAGCCAGCAGGGACGCGCCAGGCCTCCCAGGCCTCGGCCTCCGCTGTGGCTAGCGGGCCCAGTTCCGAGGGGGCATCGAACTCCTTGCGGCGGGGGTTGTTTTCGCCCGGATAGCCTCCGGTCTAGCGGCCCCCCCCTTCATTGTCTTCTGGCTTATCACTGGGCGCAAGTTTCCTGCCCAGCCCACAGGGACCTGCCAGGAAATGGGAAGGGGGGTACAGCAAAGGCCAAGGAATAGGGGTGGGGGCTCTGCAAAGACGCACAGCCGGAAAGCTATAGGGGTGACGCGCATCCTGGCGGAATCAGCTTCCCGGCCCAAGGAGGCCTTCAGCTGCGGCCCAGGAGGACGGAGAGCTGAGGCTGTCTGCGGCCTCTGCCAGCCGGATGGCCGCCTGCTCCCCACGGGGAGGTGGCGTCTTATCCCTAGTGCTGAGCGCTGAGGGCGGGGAAGAGCAGGCTAAGGAGTAGAGGTGCAGCATCCTCCGGCCTGGCCGGATACAACCCCTAGGTTATTCCCCAAAGGGCTTAAAACTCCATCGCCTCTCCGATGGGCAAAAAGTGAGTGTTCCTGGACGCCATGGCGAAGGAGTTGGTTCAATAATCCTCCTTGAAACCAACACACTTGTCCACCCCTGAACGCTGGACACACGCAGAGAAAACTTGATAATTGTCAGGAGACCTGCGTTCGCCTCCCAGCTCTGCCCACGATTCACTGCGACCCAGAGAGGCCCCACCCAGATCTCCTCGACCCCACAGTGGCCCATGGGAGCTTCCTGGGTCTCAGCCCGCTGCCTTCCTGGAGAAGCCGGTCGGTCGGGACTGCGCGGAAGCCGGGAAGCTCCGCACTACCCGGCACGGCCTCGACGCTGAGCCGCTGCGCTCTCTCGCTCTCGGGCAGTTCAGAAGGAGCCGCGGGGTTAATCGGCAACCCGGCGGCCTCCCAACCCCCTCTGCCCACGGGGCGAGAACGCCGGAGCAAGGGACCCTGGCGGCGCCGACCAGCGTCGCTACTTGCCCTTGACTCTGGGGAAATTGGGGGCGCGAGCGGGCTACGTCTGGCGGAGGTCAGAAGTATTAAATCTGCCCTTTCTGCTGGATATCTTCCCCTCCTCGCTAGAAATCTGGCCCCTCTTTTTGGTGCCCAGACATCTCTGGATAAAAATAAATGCGTAGAAAGGTGTCCTTATCCCTGCCACAAACCCACGGGAGAATAGGCTCTGGTGAAATGGGTCATCGGTCCCTGGGCAATCGGTGACGCCTCCAACAGTGGGGCCTGGCGAGGTTGGTCCTTCCCTCCCGCCACCGTGGGTGGGGTGCGCGGGCGGAGCAGGGAGCAGGCCTTCCGCGCTCACGCCTCCTCGCCCTCGTCCCCAGCGTCTCCCGCGCGGGCCCAGCCGGAGCTGCACGTGCCCGCGGGCCTCTCCAGGTTGCAGGCGGTGGAGGGAGCGGCCGTGGTGCTCCCGGCGTGGTATACCCTCAAAGGAGAGTTGTCTTCGGCCCAGCAGTGGGAGGTGCCCTTGGTGATCTGGTTCTTGGAACAGAAGGGGAAACAGCTGAAGCAGGTGAGGGAGTAAAGCATCCCGGCCAGGGGCAAGGGGCACGCAGTGCGGGGGGAGGCGGGGCGTGGGGAAAAGCTGTCAACAAAAGAGGGAGGAGGGTTCCAGGGAAAATCTAGTGTCCTCACCGGTTCAGCTTTTGTTCAGCTCTCGGACGCTTCCCCAAAGAATTCACTTTTCCCCACCTTTCCCTAGAAATCCCATACACAAGACATGTGGAAGAGGAGAGACATTTTACTTTTTTACTGGGGGGGTCAAGGAAAGGGGAAGGGTTAGAACAAGTCACGGAACTTTTAAAAGCTGAACCTCGTGTTTTCACATTCTCTGTGTTTTGCATCGTGTCCATCACAGGCCACTTCTCAGATGAGTGTCATCCGTTCCCCTGCGGTTCTAATCTCCTAGAGAGGCAAGGGGCAGGCCCCTCCCACAATCGCCCACCTGCCCTGTCAATCACAGCAGACAGATTCAGAGGCGGGTTCACCCAGAAGGGAATGCAACTTCAGCTTCAGAGTCCCTCACTTGCACAGGCTCCTTCCAAGGTCCTGGAAAATATGTGCCCACGGTCATTTGTTCTTGTAAAAAAAATTTTTGCATCTTTTTTTAAAGATCCCTCGCCCCCCTCACGCCTAGCCCGCATTGTGTAAGTTTCAGGGCCTATAAAATCTGGGTCACCTCTGCAATCTACATAGCCTCCTATTTACAATATTTCTCCCTTTCCCATCAGACCATTTTCTAAACAGTCCAAGTGGCAGGTGAAGAGACAAGGTATAGGGGAACAAGAACTGTTGTGAGGAAGGGGATCCAGGGGTGCTGAGAGGGTGGCTGGAATGGGAGCTGATACAGGTTAGAAGGGATGGATGCAGGTGAGGGGTGTCTGCAGAATACCAGTTGGGGGGAAGGGGATTAGCTGAGCCTGTGGGCAAAGGAAATACTTGTAATAAGGGGGAGGTGTTATGTCGCACACCAGGTATTGTCGTACAACAATGGGGTCGTCTCAAGCAAACGTGGAGTATCCCTGGTCCACTCCATGCCCTCCCGGAACGTGTCACTTCAGCTGCAGGGCCTCCGGGAGGAAGACTCGGGGTCTTACCACTGTTCTGTGAATGTGTATGACAGTCAAAACGTAGATAAGGGCCACAGCAGCGCAATTCTAGAGCTCAGTGTGCTGGGTGAGTGACGAGCACACGCTTCCCAATGCGTCTTCGTCCCGGGGGAAGGTCCGGGGGGGTCTCTCCTCCCAGCGGCCGGCCGTAAGGGCTGGCGGAGGTGCGAATGGAGCCGCAAAAGGGAATATGTTGGGGGGGGGAGGATCTGTTGGTCCCTTGGGTGTGAGTTTTTACTGTGTCCCCTCCCGCAGTTCCTCCAGCTCCTCCATCCTGCCGTCTTCTGGGCGTGCCCCGTGTGGGGACCAACGTGACTCTGAGCTGCCAGTCCCCAAGGAGTAAGCCCGCTGCCCAGTACCAGTGGGAACGGCTGCCCCCATCCTCCCAGGTTTTCTTCGCGCCAGTTTTAGGTGAGGGAACTTCTGGAAACATCTGAGACTGGCTGGGGAAGGAGAAAGATGAGAGGTGCCAGAGGGGCGGGGTGAAAAGGGGAGGGATACTGACAAATGCTGGGAAGAGGAGGGGAGGCTGCTGTGGGGCCCGGGGTGGAGAAAGAGGGCCTGTCAGGCGTGGGCATCTCCTGGTGCTCCCACACACTGTGTACCTGTGTCACTAGAGAGGCCCTGTGGCCTAGTGGCTCCTGGTTACACAGTCACATTCCAGCTCTGCCTCTCACTAGCTGTGTGACTTTGCCTTTGTTGCTTGTTTGTAAAATGGGGACCTCAGTAGCCCTGATTTGAACATACCAACTGTAAAAGACATTTTGGGGACAATTGGGACATTTTTAATAGGGACTGAGTATTAGATGCTTTTAGAGAATTATTATTAATTTGTTAAGTAAGGCAATGGTACTGTGGTTATATGGGACAATACTCTTATATCTTAAAGATTCATGCTGGAGTATTTAATATGTCTAAGAGATAGAAGGGAGCCCTGGTGGCGCAGTGGTTAAGAGCTACAGCTGCTAACCAAACGATTGGCAGTTCGAATCCACCAGCCACTCCTTGGAAACCCTATGGGGCAGTTCTACTCTGTCCTATAGGTCACTATGAATGGACTCAACTCAACGGCAATGGGGTTTTATTAACATAACTATTTCATGTAATCCTTCCAATACCATTAGGTAGGTCATATTACCCCCAGTTTACCGATAAAGAAATGGAGATCCAGAGAGATCAAGTAACTTGCTTCAAGTCACACAGTCTATCCTAGAACTCAGGTTTTCTAGTTCCTAGCCCAGTGTTCTTTCTCTCTTACTACACTGCCTTCCAGAAATAAAAGTAAAAATGGAGTTTTGATTTTTCCGTGCATCATTTCCTTCTAGCCTCCCTTCAGGTATCATTGGGGGGACTGAGGAGTGGACATAGAGAAGGGTATTGAGCTAGCAATCTTGCATTTGGGAGTAGAACTCAGCATGCTGGCTGTCACACCCATTCCCTCCATCAAGGAACAGACAAACTGAGTCTCCAGAAGATGGAGGAGGACATTGCAGAGGAGGAGCAGGATTTGTGTGTGTGTGTGTGTGTGTGTGTGTGTGCAGGAAAGATGGTCTCTGACCTGAGAGCTAAATTGTGTCCACAGATGCCGTCCGTGGGTCCTTAAGCCTTACAAACCTGTCTACTTCCGTGTCTGGAGTCTATATCTGCAAGGCCCACAACCAGGCAGGCAGTGCCAAGTGCAACGTGACGCTGGAAGTGAGCACAGGTCAGTTGGGGGTAAGTGTGGAGAAAAGTGGTCAATGGGGGCAGGGCACTGCAAGAGAAGGGGGCGACCTGTTTTCTGAGGCCTCTGATTGTAACTGGACAGGGAGCTTGTACAAATATTTGGTACAAATGGTGACTGACCGTGTTCTGATTAACAGCTGCCCCTTATCTTAACAAGGAAGAAGAGAGTGTTTCTTGTAGCAGCGGGAGTCCTGGGGTTGGAGAGGGCTAGGGAACGGCTGGGTGTTCTCTCTGACACCAAGGCTTTTCCAGGGCCTGGGCCTGCAGTGGTAGCTGGAGCTGTTGTGGGCACCCTGGTTGGATTGGGGCTGCTGGCTGGGCTGGTCCTCTTGTACCAACGCTGGAACAAGGCCCTAGAGGAGCCAGCCAACGACATCAAGTAAGCGTCCCTGGTCTTTACCGAGCTCCCCTTATGGAACCTGGGAATTCAGGCAGCTCCCATCTAATGGAAAGGTTTCAACTTAATTCCTCTGGGCAGATTGTAAGGAAGAGGGAGGAGAGGGTTGAAGTGGGGAAGGAGGGTGGGGGTGGGTAAGACAAAGCATGTAGAAGCCCCCCACCTTCTGACTTCTTATTACTTCTTTGACAATTAGGGAGGATGCCATCGCTCCCCGGGCCCTGCCCTGGCCCAAGGGCTCAGACACAATCTCCAAGAATGGGACTCTTTCCTCTGTCACGTCAGCACGAGCCCTTCGGCCACCCCAAGGCCCTCCCAGGCCTGGTGCATTGACCCCCACGCCCAGCCTCTCCATTCAGGCCCTACCCTCACCAAGGCTGCCCAGGACAGATGAGGCCCACCCTCAGCCAGTACTGCCCAGCCCTGGTGGGGTTTCTTCCTCTGCCCTGAGCCGCATGGGGGCTGTGCCCGTGATGGTGCCCGCCCAGAGTCAGGCTGGGTCTCTGGTGTGATGGCTCAGCCACTCATTGGCTAAGCTGTCTGGTTTCTCTCCTTCCTATGGGGTCACTCCTAGCACAGAGGCCTGAATCTTGGGAGGGTGACATGTTGCAGACCGACAATCCTCTGCCCTCACCTCTGTTTATGGGAAATCTGAGACTCAGTAAGACTCTAACTTGTTGGAGGTAGAAGGAGACGATGCAGTGGACCTGGAATTAGGAAGAGCCCCCACTCTCTCCCCCACCCCACCCAATGACGGCAGCTGAATGCTGATGAGACTGGCTACCCACTCCCCGCTGCAGGCCCTGGTGGGTATCGCCAGTCAATGAGTCTTCAGGCTCCCCTGCTCTGCCCCCCACCCTATCTAATGCCATCCTCTGCCCTCACTCCAGCTCCCTGCATTCATATAAACTGTCTTGCTGGCTTGGTTGGGTTTTTGGTGGGGAAGGGGTTAGGGAAGAGATTTTTAAAAACTAACTTGAAATGTACTTTTGTTTTTGTATACATCAATAAAAAAACTGTGTATGGAAAGTGAGAGTCCAGTTGCCTTTACAAGTTCGGGATTCCCAGGAGAAGTGGAGATTAAGGATGATGCAAAATGGGTCTCTGCCCAGGCGGCAGAGCTGACCAGCTCAGGATTGCTCTCCTGGAGTCTTTAAAGGGGCCGTTTGCTGTTAGGTGGAGAGGGAGGAACAAAGGCTGGGGACACTCTGTTGTTAGTTCCCATCCAGTCCATTCGGAGTCATGGCGTCAGGGTGACCCCGTCCATGTGTTCAAAGCAGTATTTCGCCATGGGCTTTTCAAGGCTGTGTGTGACCTTTGGGAAGCGGATTGCCAGGCCTGTCTTCCTAGCCCACTCTGAACAGCGAGGGAATGAAGTTGATGTCCTTTCTGCTGGGGCCTGAGTATGCCTCCCTCATCCTCAGAATCCTTCCCCTTCAGGGTGCCCACCCCAAGCCCAGCCCCTTTTCCAGGGCCTGACAGCTTCAAAAGATGGGGGGACGAGGTAGGAAGCAGGAAGCAGGGTTAGAGTGAGTCCAGAACTGAGCCTCAAGGAGGGAGGAGCATTGCCTTACCTGAGGGTGCAGGCCTCTCCCCTTGTTTGTTCTGAGATAGCCAGTCTCGCTCCGACCAGCTCCTGACCAGCAAGAGGCGGCTGCCCTTTGGGCGTTCGCTTCCCATCCCCAGACCCAGGGAGGCAGACACGGACCAACAGACGGCAGGACAGCAGGCCTCTCTGGGCCATGGCCTGGCTCCCTGGGCCTTTCCTCTGCGGGGCTCTGCTGGGCTTCGTCTCCATAAGTGGTGAGGAGAAGGGCCGGGTGGAACCGCGGTGAGAGCTGTGAGCCAGGCCACCCTTCCCTGAGTTCCTTGGGGCCTCACCCCGCCGGGGCGACTCGGGGAGGGGAGGGCGGGCTCCTCCGGCCTCTCAGAGCCCAGGGTTCACCTCCGCAGGACTATTGTTCTCCTGGCCCTCACGAACACACCCTCAAACCTGGCTCGGTCTCGGTCCTTTCACCCACAAAATCCCGGCCAGGCCTCTCACTGCCGGAATCCTCAGGTTTCGAGAAGGGAAGGACTCAGAGTGGGGGGTTTCACTCTGGGGACGGGACCCCCAGCCTCTGTTGTGGAAGCCACGGAATGGGTTGGAACCCCAAGATCACCGGGATCTGGGTCCGGCCTCCGCTCCCACCCCAGCCCCTTTCCCGGCGTTGTGTGGGCGCTCCCTCCCGTGGGTCTCGCTCTGCGCCCCCAGCGCCCGGGCTGGCCGTGGAGGTGAAGGTGCCCGCCGAGCCGCTGAGCGCGCCCGTGGGCACCGCCGCCCAGCTGACCTGCAGCTACAGCACCTCGGTGGGAGACAACTTCGCCCTGGAGTGGAGCTTCGTGCAGCCTGGGAAACCCATCTCCGCATCCGATCCCGTGAGCTGAGAGCCACCGCGCCGGGTGGGGACTCTCCTCAACCTGTTAGAGGGGTTGGCCCAGAGAGGCAGGAACCCACCCAGGGTCGGGAGGGTGCGTTTGGGGATCAGGATGCTCGCATGAAAAAGTAGACTCTTCCTAGTTCTGAGAGCTGCAGTGGGCTTCATCCCGTATCAGCCATTCCTCTCCCTTAGCTCTTATACCCGACTCCCTGTGTTAGTGCGAGTTTCCGTTAATGTGACAATATGCTGTCCCTTCAGCAATAGTTTTTCCACACAGAGAAAGCCATGCTCAGCTGAAAGCAGTGAATCTAGTTCATTCAGCATCCGAAAGAGGATGGCATTGGGGCACAGATAGACCTGCATGGTTCTCCTTCTAGGGTATCAGCTTCCCTGGCACCCTACACCCACGTTTATGCGGAAGGATTATAGGGTTGATGCCAGGCAAAAAAGGCACACGGGTGTATTTTTGCTTCTCCCCAGATTCTGTACTTCACCAGTGGTCACTTGTATCCAATTGGTTCTATGGCAAAGCGGGCCAGCCTGCTTCAGAACCCCCCCACAGGAGGGGTGGCCACCCTGAAACTGAGTGACGTCCGCCCCTCGGATACTGGAACCTACCTTTGCCAAGTTAACAACCCACCAGATTTCTACACCAATGGCTTGGGGATAATCAACTTTACTGTGCTAGGTAAGGCCATCTGGGGACCCACTAGCCACCCACGTACTCTGAAAGACGACTCTGGCCCTGTTAAATATCTCCACATCCTAATTCCAAGCCCAAGCATACAACTCCACCAGGAACTCCAGTGGAAACTGCCCCCTTCCCAAAGTCTTCTAATCTAGATGGTCATACTCTGGTTCCAACCTGCACAGAGTACCTCCTTCCTCAGGCCCTGGTAACAAAGGGTCTGAGAGAGAAAGTCCCTCCCCAAACATGGGGATCTGAGTCATGTCCCCAACGGCTCTATTCCTGTCCCTGGGGAACCTCCCATTTATAGCTCAGATTCTGTCCCTCCCAAGGTAAATGGAGAGAAGGGGAGGGGCCATTAAAGGAACATGGACCCCATAGCTGTTTGTTGGTGTCTCCTTAACTGGGCATTGGCTTTGGGTTCAGAGCTTCCATCTGACCCTGAACTAGAGCCTGCTTAGAGGTGAGCAAGGAGTTGGTGTACGACAGCTGTACTCAGGTATCTGAAGGGCTGTCATGTGGTGAAGATTTTCTCTTTGTGGGCACAGAGGTCAGGAACTGGGACCGATTGGCAGATAGTACATTAACACAGACTTTGGATCAACATGAGGAAGAATTTTCTAACAGTCAGAATTTCCAGTAGTGGAAATCACTTCCTGGGGATAGAGTGGTGTCTGGATAGAAAACCAAAAAAAAAAAAAAAAAAATCAAGCCAGTTGCCATCCTTATGGAGACCCCATGTGTGTCAGAGTAGAAATGTGCTCCATAGGGTTTTCAATGGCTGATTTTTCAGAATTCAGATCGCCAGGCCCTTCTTCCAAGGCACCTCTGGGTGGACTTGGACTTGAACTTCTAACCTTTCTGTTAGAGCCACACACTTAACTGTTTACACCACCCAGGGATGCCACTGAACAGAAGTGGACCACCATTTGGTAGGGGTGTTGAAGCAGGAATTCCAGCACTTCCCGGAGGCTGGGTTGGAAGACTGCTAAGGTGCTTTCTGCGATTCCCATTGCAGTGCCCCCCAGTAGCCCCGTGTGCAGTCAGAGTGGTCAGACCTCTGTGGGAGGCTCTGCTGCGCTGAGATGCAGGTCCTCCACGGGAGAGCCCAGGCCAGTGTACAGCTGGGCACGTCTTGGATCTTCTCCGACACCTTCTCCTGGGAGCATGGTGCAAGGTAAGGGCCCTGGGCATCAAGCAACAGGGGACTCAAGATCTGGGCAAATCTGGCCTCTCAGCCCCACACCCCCATTACCAGTTCCACGACTCGGGGTGTGAGACAAACCATTATACCCTTCCCTTTGCCTTTTCCATGGCTTCTTTATTGTCTCTCTTGTCTGTCCTCCCGCACACTCTGTGGCTGGACGATCCTGGGAGCATCTCTCAGCCTAAATGTATTCCTGCATCCAGGGTGAGAGTGGAGGGAAGGGGGCACTTGGATGATTCCCACTAGTCTGCTTTTGGGGGATTTCTTAGGGTTGTGAATCCTTTCCAGACTTCCTACGAGGGAACCTGAGGCAGTAGCACGAACTGGTTTGAATCATTTAACCAGTTTCTTTAAGGACCCATATAACCAGCTAAGAGCCGCGGCTTCTCAGCTTTCTCATGCTGGTTCCAGTTGCCCTGTCTCTCCCCTCAGTCTCAGCCCCAGCAAATGCCTTTATCAACCCAGGACCCTCCAGTTCGCCTCCTCTCCCCAGTGTTGTGCTCTGCCTACTAAAGCAAAGATAAGGATTTTAGAAAAGTATTTGAGTCAGTTTAGAACTACTCCAGGGGCTGCAGTTTCTAGCAATCAAGCCTTTTTTACTCCCAACCAGGAACCTGACATCAACCAGTAAGCTCCCATCCCAACTCCACTGCAAGTTTCTCAAACCTTCGTGTGTGTGCAGCTACCCCCCACCCCCGACCCCATGCAGCTGTGTAGGATGGAAAGAGCACAGAGGTTGCAGTGGCTTTGGCACTTCCTGTCTGGGTCACCTTGGACAGATTACTTCCCTTCTCTGAGACAATTTTCCCCTCAATAAAATGAGGGTAATCGCTTCCTGGCAGGATTGCCGTAAGAATTAAAGGAAGTATGCTTTACTCATAGTAGGTGTTCAGTGTTTGTTGAATGAGTGATGAAACACTTCTTCACCCTCTAGATGAGGTGTCTGGCCAGCTCATTCTCACCAATCTCTCCCTGACCTCCTCGGGCACCTATCGCTGTGTGGCCACCAACCAGCTGGGCAGTGCATCCTGTGAACTGACGCTCTCTGTGACTGGTAGGGGACTGTGGGCAGAAGCCAGGCTGGCCGGGTTGGGTTGGGGAGGCCGTATGAAGCTGTCTGAGGAGGGCCAAGGAAGGCCTCTGCTCTGAGTCCTGTCTTTCCTTAGACCCCTCCGAAGGCCGAGTGGCTGGGACTGTGATTGGGGTGCTCCTGGGCGTGCTGTTCCTGTCAGTTGCTGTATTTTGCCTGGTCAGGCTCCAGAAGGAGAGGAGGAAGAGACCCAAGGAGACATATGGGGGAAGTGACCTTAGGTGAGCAAGACGCTGGGGGTGGTGCAGAGAGGGAGGGAAGGGCCTGGATTAAGTAGGTGCCTTCAGACCTCAAACTCAGTCTTTAGGGATGTTTAGAGGTAGGACATGCTGCTCAGCCCTGGGGTTTGGAGGTGGAAGCTGCGGTATGGCCTGTGTATTTGAGTGAATGAGCAAGGAGTGCGGGGTGGAGGGGCTGGTTCACAGGCTGGGGCAGGGATGACTCATTTTGCAGGACAGTCCCAACCCTCCTCATCCTTAAAAACATTTGCTTTGCAGTTTCATCTACGTTGCTATCTTGGGACTGGTGGTGGAAGGTGGATGCCAGGAGCTGAATTTGCACTATTTATAAACAGAGTCTAGTTCTTTGTGTGGGGAGGGGGCCGCAGTAAGAAAAGAAGAGGTGAAAGCTGCCTCCGCCATCCACTTTAGCTTCTAGTTCTGGGGTTCAGAAGAGGAATCAGAACAGTGTTTCTCAAAGTTTGGTCCTCAGATGGCCTGGACGGAAATCACTAGGAGCTTGTCAAACATTCAGATTCCTAGGCCACATCTTATCCCTCCTAAAGCAGAATCTGGGTGTATGTGTGTGGTTTGGGGGGTGATGGGACCCTAGAATCTTCATTTTTAACCAAGTCCCAGAGGTGATTCTCATGCACAGTAAAACGTGCAAGACGCTGGGTTAGAGGATGGAGCCCTTGGAGGGATGCTCGGGCCTTTACTAAGAATTTGCCTCTGTCCATCAGGGAGGATGCCATCGCGCCTGGGATTTCTGAGCAGACTTCTGTGGGGGCGGATTCCAGCAGTGGGCTCCTGGAGAGACCCCCGGCTGCCAGCACTGTGACAACCACCAAGTCCAAGCTCTCTATGGTTGTCTGACTTCCCTCCCGACCCCTGGGGGGATGAGAGGGAATAGCAATAATTAAAGCCTTTGGGTACCATATTGTCTCCTTCTTTCTGCAGGTGGATGGAATTCCTTTAGGCGGCCGAAATAGTATTACCGGTAAGAGAAGGAAAGGGCTTGAAGTCCGAGAGATGATGCAGGAGGCAGGAAGTTTGACTGGGTCAAAGCGGTCAGAGGGTTTATACTTGGGTGCCCTGCTTCCCCACCCCACTCCAGCTTTTTGGTCTAGTCAGATGAGGCTCGTTCAAGCTCCAAGCACTGGCCTTACGCACCCAAACTCCTTCCCACCTGGCACCCTCTGAATACTTGGACATTCCTCTTTATTGTTCACATTCCAACCCGGCACGGTCACATGCACACGCAGAGATTAAAAACCTTCGGGCCACAGCCCCAGGAGCCCGGCGGGGGCGGGACCAGCAGGGGCAGGGGCGGGGCCGCAGCAGACTCCTCCCACCGAGCCTCCCAGGCGCTCAGCGTTTGCATAAACCGGAGAGCTGGAGAGGCGGCTCTCGGGGTGCGCTGAGGACATGGGTGGGCAGATTACAGGCAGGCGTGGGATTGCGGTGTGAAATAGGGACTTCCCTTCCGATCAGAGCAGGGGGTATTAGACACCATAAAAACTCTCTTCCCCTCTCTCCTCGCCCCAGATCCAAATCTCTGGGGCTAGGCTGGGGTGGAAACAGCACACAGAAGCAGGGCGCCCCCTTTCGCTGCGCACTGAACCAAAGGACTTGTGTTTTTTTTTTGGAAGTGAGCGTCCTTGGGCGACGCGTAGGGCGCCCTCCGCAGTGCGCGCAGGGAAGCGCCCAGAGGCTGCGGAGGCAGAGCTGCATGCTGAGCGCCGGGAGAGGTGGGAGGGAAGCAAAAGGAAGATTTGGGAGCGCGGGACTGGGGCCTAGGGTGGGGAGGAAGGGCGAATGGGGACCGTACTAGACTGGAGAACTAACTGAAAGGGCACGGACTTGGCGACTTCGCGATGGAGCCTGCCTGGGAGGAGTCTCTTGGGGACGCAGCGGGGCTCCTGAAGCTGGCGGGTTGGTGGGAAGCAGGGGATCACAAACACGGCAGGGAAGTCTCGTCACTGCGAAGGGGACGCGGCATCCATCTCTGCTCGGGAACTGAGGAGACAAAAGGCCTGAGAACTTGCCCACTCCCCATACCTCCTCTTCTCCCCTCCTCCCTTCCGGAACCGGGACACCTGGGCGGGCAGCGCCCAGGGCCCCAGTCACCCAGAACTCCCCACTGAGCTGAAATGAGCCCCGCGGCAGGTACGTGAGTTCGCCGTGGTGTTGGTGGCCCTCGGCCGGGTTTGTGCAGCCAAATGGGGGTGATTGAGCATCTGTGTCCGTCCAGGTGTGTGTCCCGTCGCAGCCTCAGGAGTTTCGGTTGGTCACAAAACCCGCAGGCGCAGGGTACATTGTCCCCGGCTGGGAGGGGGTGAGGGCGCGCCGAGGGAAGGGGCTGGGGGATGTGGTCCTTTTCTCCCACTCAGGGCCCTCAGCCTGCCACTTCGGGGTTGTATTCTTTACCTTCGAAAATGCTCAGTTCCTCTTCGGTCCACGTGGGGCAAAAAGGGGGTGGGGGTTGGAGAGAGAGAGAAACAGGTGAGCGCTCGGAACCCGCATTGTCTTCAGCCTCCCCCCCCCGCCCCCACTCACCCACCTCGCAACTCGGATTTCTGGCCCCCGGCCCTGCGCTGCCCCCACACCCCTTCTGCGCCCCGCCAGCCCGCCGTAGCGGTCCCTTGCTCTTGGAGGAGAAGGAGGGGCCGCTCTCGGAGGGTCCCAGGTGCTGGCACGTGAAAGCCGCCCAGCCCACCGCGTCCCGCCTCACCTGGCCTAGTCTCCGCTGGGGCCGCCGCCCGCGCCTCCCCGGGCGCCCCCAGCTCCGCCCGGCCCCCCGGGGCCCGGGCCCTTGCGGCCGCGCTCTCCGCTCTTTATCTTCTTCCGCGCCATGTGGCCCCGGAAACTCGCCTGGATTTTGGCGGCGGCCGCGTTGGCACCGGGGTCGTCCAACGGGATGTCTAGAATGTCGTCGTCCGGTTTGGAGCAGGCGCTCTCCTGGGGGCGGGGCAGGAGGGTTCTTCTGGGGTGAATGGGCCGATACCCGAGGAGACCCCGCGGAATGGGGTAGGAATAGAGCCCTGGAGGATTGAGACGAGGGCGACGCGAGGGTGGGAGCGCGGGGAGGTGCGGCTCCGGTCCTGGAAGAGGGCTAAGGCAGGGCCGCGCGCTGTGTGTGCGCCTCCTGGGCGGCGGCAGGCAAAGAGGAGGGCTCAGGGCCAGGTGGGCAGCTGTGCTCACGCGTCAAAATCCAGGAAAGAAAAGCGCATGGTGGGATGGGGCACAAGAAAGCCAGATAACTCTGACTGAACGCAGGGACCGGAGTTCCAGGAGCTGCGGAGCTGACTGGAGGGTGGGTTTGGAGGAGCAAAGAAAATGGCAGCAGGGATTCCCGGGGGTGCCGGAGAAGAGTCAGCAGGACAGTGTCCTCCCCAGGTGAAATCACCCCAGAGCTTAAAGCTGCAATCAGGGTGGGAAGCGGGCCAACCCTCAGTGAGTCAGCCTCCCCCCACCTAGGGCAGGGGCCCGGAGACTGATTTCCCATCAACTCTCCAATTTCCACTGCTTCCCAAGATGAATTCAAACACACAGACAGAAGATGGTCTGGAAGAAGTGACAGAGAAAAGGTTTCACTCTAAAAACGGACAAAGGAAAGATAAGGAGGAGCAAGAGGCCCGTCCCATGATGTGCTCATGAAGAGGAGAGGAATTAGGACATTTAATCGCTTACCTGTTCCAGGCACGGCAACACAGAGTTTTACAGGCATTATTTTAGGTAGTCCTCACAACCAAGCTATGATGTACTTTTTATTGTTACTCTTGTTTACCCATAATAAAACTAAGCATTAGAGTGTTTAGAAACCTACCTGGGGAGACACAGATGGTTAGTAATGGACCTAGGATTCAAACCCTTGTATGTCACAGTCCAAAGTATATTTTTCACCTCTACTTCATAGGATGGAAACCCTGGTGGCATAGTGGTTAGGAGCTATGGCTGCTAACCAAAAGGTTGGCAGTTCGAATCCACCGGGTGCTCCTTGGAAACCCTATGGGACAGTTCTACTCTGTCCTTTAGGGTCACTATGAGTCAGAATTGACTTGACCACAATGGGTTCGGTTTTTTGGTGCTCTATAGGATGAGGGGCATGGGTAGTTAAGTGGTAGAATTCTCGCCTTTCATGTGGGAGACCGGGTTCGATTCCCAGCCTCCGTTTCTGGCCAGTGCATCAGAGTGAGCGAGCCATCACTGGTTTGTCAGAGGAGGCTTGGGTGTTGCTATGACGCTGAACAGGTTTCAGCAGAGCGTCCAGACTAAGAGACTAGAAAGAAATGCTTGGCGATCTACTTCGAAGACATAAGCCAATGAAAATCCTACGGATCACAACAGTCCGATTCAGTTGTGCATGGGGTCACCATGGGTTGGGCGTCAACTCGACAGCAGCTAACAACAACTCTACAGGATAAGAAAATGCAGTCAAGACAAGGAAACAAGGCTCTACTACTTGCTACCTGTCCGGTCTTAGAACAAGTTATCTAATCTTTTCCAGGCTCAATACCGTCATCTGAAAAATCAGGATAATACTATGGGTTCTGGGGAATAAACAACACGATAAGCATAAAGTTTCTGGCACAATCTAGTTGCTCAATAAATGGTCGCCATGATTATGATTCTTTTAAACAATACTACGTTGATGCAAAATAGATGTTTTTGTAGGTCAAAAGTAGTCATATAATAACAGTCCCACATAGTTCAACCTAATAATAATCAGACCCATCCCTTTGCTCCAAAATAGGTTTCTATTTCTCCCACAGCTTGACCTAGCTGAGAGTAGAAGGGGTTGGGGAATTAATGGTATGGATTTCAGAGGCAAGGCTCTGGAATGGAGAGGGACTCAGCCCCTGGGTCCCTCTGCTGCTTAATGTCACTCACAGCATTTGTGTGGGCTCGGAAGAGGATAGTTACTGTGGAGTTAGAAGGGCATTTCTCCTGTGGTCTGGCCCCAGGGCTTCTGGGGATTTGCTCACATTTTTGGCCCAAGGACTTGCACTGCTTTCACTGTCTTTGTCTTCCAGGGCATGAGATGACCCAAGGTCTCACACAGTTCCAGTGATTCATTTCCACTCGCCCCTGCCATCACCCGTCCAGTTCATAGACGTGGGATGGGTATGGTTCTGCTGTCTTCAGCAAGGCTTCAGTGATCACTACCCTACCCATGGTCTCCTCCGGGAGCACGCGGTTCAATTCCCCAGGCCCAGGCCCAGGGGTGCAGATGTCTTCCCCTCTCTTGGTGTACCCTGGCCTTGCTTCCCAAGCTACCTTCATTTCCTAGGCTCCACAGTTCACTCTGCGCTCAAGATGCCGACAATGATGTGAACACAGTTATTAGGCGTTACCAAGAGGCCAGCAAGGCGTGAGGCGCCTCACACGCTCCTTTTGTCTTTCCCAGGCCTAGAGCTCTCTCCCTGACATCTCAGTCCCCACCTAAAATCAGAAACAACTCCTTTGGGTTCCTTGATTCTCGGAGCTCAAGCCTCTCTTGGGATATTGGCAGGCTTCTCTTCAAAAGAGGACAACAACCCAAAAACCGTTCCTGACTCGCCTCCCTCCCAGCCTTGGCAGCTGTGGAGGCACAGGTAGGTGAGTGGAGGAAGGGGTGTCTTCCCTTAACCCTGCTAAGACCCACTCATCCCGGCTGGATATGGAAACCTGGGATAACAGGCCAGGCCACCCCTGACTCGCTGCTCTTCCCTGATACCAGCTCCTCTCCCTCTAGCTGAATCTCAGGGCAGAGATGGTAGGTGGCCTGTCTGCAGACAGAAGGGAGAGTAAAAGGGCCGGAGCTGATGCCCCGCAAAGCCAGGATTTGATGATGCAAGCCTGAGGGCTTCTTACGAACTGGGAGGCATCTGGGAGGTGGGGTGGGGGTGGAAAGCACACTAGTTAGCAAAGCAGGAGCCATGGCTTCTGGTCCAGCTAGGTGTATCACCTCACCCCTGACAGCCTCAATTTCTTCAGCCACTGCTAGAACTTGGCCTCTATGAACAAGTCTCCTTCAGCTCCCAAATCCTAATAGCTTAAGAATTACTACTTATGTGCCAGGTCTGTGCTAAGCCCTCTGCACACATCACCTCATTTAATCCCTACTTTAGAAATCAGGAAACCGAACCTCAGAGATGTTTTGTAAAGAAACCTGTGCTGTGAACCATTGCCTCAGGGCAGATCATCAGTTCTGTGAATTCAGTCGGACCGAGACTGTGCAGAAGAAAGGCACGGGATCCAAAACCATGTTTCTTTGCCTTTTCATATTGAGTGAATGCAGAAAAGTCATATATATGTGGCTTTGTAAATCAGAAAGAGCCCTGGCGGTGCAGTGGTTAAGTGCTTGGGTGCTAACTGGCACTCCGAACCCACCAGCCATTCAGCTGGAGAAAGATGTGGCAGTCTACTTCTGTAAAGATCACAGCCTTGGAAACCCTATAGCGCAGTTCTACTCTGTCCTGTAGGGCCACTATAAGTCGGAATCGACTGAATGGCAATGGGTTTAGGTTTTTTTTTTTTTTAGGATTTTCCCAAACCAGTTCAGGTCGTCAGGGAGGAGAGTCCCAAAGTGAAAGATGAAGAGGTACCTGCCTCTAGTCCCTCAGATGCATGCTTTTCTCTCTACAGTCCCAGCTCCCTTCCAGCACAGAGCCAGATCCCTGCCACGCAGCCTCCCACAGAAGGGGCAGGAAGATGTTCCAGTCCCCTCGGCCCCCTCTGGGCCCTGTCACCCCTCCCCCACTGTACAGTCTCCCAGTGGGTGTCTCCCGCTCAGCTCTTAGGCCCTCCAGACTTAGGAGAGAGGATGAAAGGGGAAGACTCTTGGGTACAGGGTGCAGTGTAGGAGGCGTCCCAGGACCCTGGGCCACTGGGATAATTGTGTCCTAGCTTCCTGTGTACTGTTTGCATGAGCAGTGTCTTCCTTTTTCAGGGAACGCTCATTCCAGCCATATCTACCAATCCCTCAAGATGGCTTCCTGGCCACTCATGAGCAAGGTCTATGCAGACCAGGGCCTACAGGCAGGGACCCAACATCCCACCCTAACTGCCCCTGCAGGCACTAGAGGAGACACGTTATATTCCTTTTTGGGCTTTTTGGATGCTTTGTTTTCTCACGTCTTTGCACTGACTATGCCTCCCGCCTTCCCTTCTCCATCGTTCTTCTCTCAGCAGTACCTTCCCCTGTGCATACCCCACACTTATATCCAGAACCTACGTTCCATTTATTGTCTTTACTTGATGAAACACTGCTGGGGATGAGGGCCAGGAACCTCTGCTGAGAGTCCATTCCTCCGTTTACAACCAATCCCTTCCAGGTGAATAGCAAGCGGAAGGAAAAGACTGGAAGGACACATGTTATTGAGGCTTTTCTCCAGATGGTGGGATGGCAGACGATTGATATTTTTTCTTTTTTATACTTCTCTCTAGTTTTAAAATTTTCTTTTATGAGCATATTACTTTTTTAAATAATATTTTATTGTGTTTTCAGTGAAAGTTTACACAGCAAATTAGGTTCCCATTTAACAATTTCTACACAAATTGCTCAGTGACATTGGTTACATTTTTCAGTGTGTCAACTTTCTCATTATTTCCGTTCTGGTTGTTACGAATGTCTAATGAGGGAAAAAACATAAATATTTAGAGAAGAGGTTCAAGTACGACTATTTGAATCAGACAGGGCTATGTTTAAATTTTGCCTCCTTGGGCAAATCATTTAACCTTTTTAAATCTTAGTTTATGCATCTGTAGATGATGTATTGCATTGGGCAAATCTGCTGCAAAAGACCTCTTTAAAGTGTTAAAAGCAAAGATGTCACTTTGAGGACTAAGGTGTGCCTGACCCAAGCCATGGTACTTTCAGTCACCTCATATACACGCGAAAGCTGGCCAATTAATAAGGAAAACCGAAGAATTGATGCTTTTGAATTATGGTGTTGGCGAAGAATATTGAATATACCGTGGACTGCCAGAAGAATGAACAAATCTGTCTTGGAAGAAGTACGGCCAGAATATTCCTTAGAAACAAGGATGGTGAGACTTCGTCTCGTGTACTTTGGACACGTTATCAGGAGGGCCCAGCCCCAGGAGAAGGACATCATGCGTGGTAAAGTAGAGGGTCAGCGAAAAAGAGGAAGACCCTCAACAAGATGGACTGACACAGTGGCTGCAACAATGGGCTCAGATATATCAACGATTGTGAGGATGGCGCAGGACTGGGCAGGGTTTCATTCTGATGTACACAGGGTCATTATGAGTCAGAACCGGCCTGATGGCACCTAACAAGAACAACATCTGTAAAATGGGGGCAATAATACCCATCTTCTAGGATTTCTGTGATGATTAAATATAAAGTACTAGGCACCTGGAGTCCCTGGGAGGTGCAAACGGTTAATGTGGTTGGCTGCTAACAGAAAGGTTGGTGGTTTGAGTCCACCCAGCATGCCTCAGAAGAAAGGCCTGGTGATCTACTTTTGAAAAATCAGTCATTGAAAACTCTCTGGAACATAGTTCTACTCTGACACACATGGAATCTCATGAGTCGGAATCAACTTGACAAGGGCACTGATTATTTATTTTAGTCACATGGCAAGCATTCACAAACTGACGACTGTTACTGATACCAATAAGAATTAAAATCATAATAACCATGACGACTTGCCCCTAAGCTCTCTGTCTCTTGGTGAGATGCAGGGAGGTCTTACCCCTTAGAGAACTGGGCTATCCTTTGCTTCCATACCACACTTTTTTTGTATACCATCGGGTGGAGGGTGGGAAGCTGGCAAATTCAATAAACTCTTGTATCCTTAGCTGGATTGACTGAATGCATGGAAATACAGGACTTGATGTCATCTATCTTTTTTCCCTACTTAAGGGTTAAAAATATGTAAATAATACCATTTATATAATTCTATTTATAAATATTTACATTTAAAAATATAATTTATTATTTAAATATCTACTTATTTATGGAGCCCTGGAGGCGCAGTAGTTAAGAGCTCGCCTGTTAACCAAAGGGTCGGCGGTTGGGATCCACCAGCCGCTCGTTGGAAACCCCCTTGGGCAGTTCTACTCTGTCCTATGGGGTCGCTATTGAGTCAGAATCGACTCGACGGCAACGGGTTTGTTTTTTTGTGGTTTATTTATACACTCGCACATATGTATTTGCCGTATTCGTATGAGCCAGGACCCAGGTCCTGCGTCAGGCGCTTTCATAGCAAGTCACCTGAACGGCAACCTACTTTCCCGCTAGGCACTTGCTCCATCCAGGTTTCCGCGTGGGCGTGACAAACTGCAGACCCTTCCTTCCCTCGCCGGCAGGGCTCGCCCGCCGTCACCTCACCCAGCCCCCTCCAGAGAGAGAAGGCGTTGGGGGCAGGACCCACTCCTCCCCAGAACCACACTGACTAGGTGCTTTGCTGCCGGACGTCACCACTAAGGGAACGATATACACTGATTATCCCACCCTGGGCTGCACAGGGCGCTTAGGCCATTGTCGAAGGTGGTGAGGATCAATCTGTCCGCCCACCGACAGTGGCGGCGGTGGGATGGGGAATGGGGGTGGGGGCCGCAGCTCCTCTAGGCGACCGTTCCCAGCGCCTGTCTGGGGAAGTTCCTCCTCTGGTCTAACCCGCAGCTTCCCTGCTGCAGTCTGAACCCATGGAATCTACCCCGACTCTGCAGCAGGTTGCCGAGCTCCCAGTCCAGCCCAGACAGTCTGGCGGATGGCGCTGAGACGCCCCCGCGGGGTGGGCAGCGTTTTCCTAGGGCTTCCCAGTCGGCGGGCGCCTTCCACCACCCCCACCCGCGTCGCAGCAGGGACCTCTCGCTGCTCCTCGTCTTCTGCACCCACTTCCCTCCCGCCCTCGGCCTCCAGGGGCTCCTCGGGCGCCCTTTGCCCGCGCCAAGCTGATTGCCGTCCCCCAGGCCCTCTAACTTACGGTGCAGCAGTCCATGCTGGTGTTGGGGGTCCTCGGTGGGGCGGAGGTTGGAGCAGAGCGGGGGTGGGGTCTGTTTGAGGCTGGGTGGGGACTCTGGGGCTCCGGGACGCCCGCCGACCCGCGCCGAACCAGCCGCTCTCCTCTCGGGTCCTCTCTCCCGCGCTCTGCTCCGCTCGCGAGTGTAACCTGAGCCCCACGGCCCAGGAGCCAATCAGGAGCAGCCTTTGCCCGGTGGGCGGGGAGAACTGGCTGGAGGACCACGCCCCCTTCGGCTCCCCGCGCCGGGCTCCTCCTCCTGCCCCAGCCCCTCCGCCTCCACACTTCCATCCCTTCCTCCTACACACCGCATCCTCCCAAACTCAATCCCTTTGCTTGCTAAACGGCCCGCTGCCAGGCAGATGTGTGCCGGAGCCGGCAGAAGGAGGCCCCCGACGTCCCGGACACAAATACACTCACATCTGGGCGCGGCATCCCCCTCCCACCCGCGCATAGAAAACTAGGCACCCCCCTCACCCACCACCCTACACTTTCCACAGCCTAGCTAGAGGCCCTAATATGGCTCCCTCTAACTTCCCTCCCCCTTAGTCCGCAAAGACTTGCTTCCAGAGACACGCAGTAAAAAAAGTCCCCTCATCATGCCTGCTGTAGAACAGAGGAACCTGCTGGTCAGTTGGGTGGGTACCCAGCCTGGTGATGGGCACAAAAGGGTATAGGATTCTCCCAGTCGCACTGAAACGTGCATTTCTCTAACATGCAGACACATTTACTCTGCAGATACAGCTTGGGAGAATAGCTACACAGACCTGACATACACACCCTGTGCAGATAAATGCAGCTGCCCTTTGTTATGGAGACACGCACACATGCACACAGGTAATCGCCCCAACTCTAACCAAGGTGTCTGCATTACATGGCTGTCTGTCCTCTGTCTACCTCCCTCCCTCCCTCCCTGCCTATCTCCCTCTCTCCTACCTCCCTTCTTCCCTCTCTACCTGCCTATCTCCCTCCCTCCCTCCCTTCCTACCTCCCTCCCTACCTCCCTCCCTACCCACCTATCTCTCTCCCTACCTACCTTCCTCCCTCCCTCCCTCCCTTCCTTCTTCGCTCCCTCCCTCCTACCTCCCTCCTTCCCTCTCTACCTGCCTACCTATCTTCCTCCCTCCCTCCCTCCCTTCCTTCTTCGCTCCCTCCCTCCTTACCTCCCTCCCTCCCTCCCTCTGTATATATCTATCTATCCATCCTGCACCAAACAGACAAAATGCATGCACAGCACTCATTTTGTATGCGTCTATCTACAGACTTCGGAGAAATCAGCCCTCTGACTCCCCACACCAGACTCTCCCCAACCTTTCAGTCCACTGCCTCAGGGTGAGACCTAAGCTAGTTACTGGCACCCTTTTCCCTGCGAAGAAGAAACACCCCTTAAACGCAAACAAGAAAATTGCAGAAGTGGCTCTTTGGGTCCATGATGGGGGAAGGATGTGGGCTTTGTGAGCAGCTGAGAAGGGGAGATATGGGGGATCCTATAGGAGGGACAGCCTGTCACTTCTGTGGTCCCCAATCACCCACAACTTTTCAGGGAACCAGAGCTGGCAGTGTATTATTATGTGGCTGGGGGTGGGGGTCATCTATGAGAAAGCTAGAAAGTCTTTCTCAGCTAAGGTCCAGAGGAGGGAAGGAAGGAAAGGTGGCTGCTACTTAGGCCATGTTGACTGAAGTAGATCAACCCATTGCCAATGAATCGATTCTGACTCATAGAGACCCTGTAGGATGGAGTAGAACTGCCGCATAGGGTTGCCGAGGAGTGGCTAGTGGATTTCAGTTGCCGACCTTTTGGTTAGCAGCCGTAATTCTTAACCACTGTGCCGTCAGGGCTCCTGAAGTAGAGCGAGGGAGGGGAAAATGACCAGTGGATCTGGGTGTGGGACAGAGGATCCTGAAACAGCTGTACACTAAATCCCCAGCCCACTGGCCCCAGTGTGGCCGTTACACGCTTTCTTCCTAGAAGACAGTTTAGTCAGAGGCTTTGCTTACCAAAGGGAAAGGGAGTGGGATGCACATTCTGGTGTCCACTCAGGAGGGAAACATGGCTAGCCAGTCTGGGTCCCCAAGCTGAGCTGGAAACTGGCTGGGATTCCAGGGCTTGGGGTGTAGGGGTGTCTTTCCCAGCATGTTTGGGACCCACCCACCTTGTAACTGAAAATCTGTTCCCCAATCTGTCTCTGGCACATCTTCTACCCCACACCTCCAGCAAATGGCAGGGTATGCTGGGGACTCAGGGCTCTGCACATCTGGGCTGGAGATTGTGCCAGCTCCCGCTGGACGTCAGCTCTAGAATCCAGAGGGCTGGGGGAAGGAGGAAAATGGGGGCAGAGAGTCTACGGGGCCCAGACTCCGTGCTTTTCTCTTCCCAAATTAGAGCTGAGGAATTCGGGATTTGGTGAGTTTGCAGTAAAGTCTCCCAAGTTGCTAGGCAACATCCCTCTGCAGGCTGCGCTGCCTCTGGGCCCTTCTTCCTGCTGGTCAGAGCTGAAAGGGGCAAATCTTTACAGCCTCCCCCCACCCCCAGACTCCCACACAGGCAGCACAGCCCTTCCCTCTTCCTGAAAAACACCTTTGCATGGGAGTGAGGGTGTCTCTGAACACTGGCAGTCCCATGGGAGACCAGAGATGGCCACTAGGCAGTTCCATCTGCAAAACAACCATTTCAGCAACAGCGCGCTTGAGGCAGCTACACAAACTGGCCACAGTGCTGGCCCTGGGGGAGGGGCAGGCTCTGGTGCGGAAAAAGATGGACAGAGAGGAAGGCAGAGACTCACAAACTCAGATACCCAGAGGCAGAAGTGGCAACACGTGAGGCCTCCTGTAAATGACGTGTACAGATAGACCCTCACACACAGCCACACACCAAGAGCGTGGCATCACACACTGACAGCCACAAAGACACACTCAGCAGTGGACCCTTTGCCACTATAAATCACAGCCACACATTTCCCCTGGTGATGGTCCAGGATGGTCAGCAAGATGGCTGGGTGGGACTCTGAGCCACTGATTATTGAATAACTGAGCTGGAAAAATGGACAGGTGCAGGGTAGAATGCCTAGGTCTGGAGCTTTGAGGAGCAGGCACTCCCCACATGAGGCTGCTTGCCTAGGGCCAAGATGCCACAGGCCAATTTTTGGAGTATAACCTGTCAACCAGCTGGGCTTGGACCCTGTAGTAGTCTCTCTGGACTCTTTGAATTTCAACACTTCTCTGTATTCACCAGCCCCCATCACTGTCAAAGGAGAAGAGCTTCAGGACCGGAAATGAGAGGCGCTTCTGAAGGGAGGGAGCAGGAGATGGCTGAGGCAATGGGCTGGATCCTGCGTGGGGGTGGGAGGCATAGAAGCGATGTCCAGGCAGGCAGAGAAGGAGATAGTCAGATCAAAGACAGGATACAAGGGAGATTACTAGGAAGCTTCTGAGAGCCAGTGCAGATCCTTCTTGGGACAGATGGAGGGGATCTGGGCAGGATTGGTCCTAATAAGCAGACAGAAAAGTCAAGGCACCTGGCAATCTAATGCTTGTGGCTTCCCCTCCCTGGAGAGGGGAACTTCTGAACACGGCATCCCAGCTCAAGCCCACAGAGGGCCCCTACGCTAAGAAGGGGGCTGGACAGAAGGGAGTCTTTGCTGTGGGTGGAGCTGATCTGGGGGCTTCTTAGGTCAGGACTTTATCGATCTGAATGGAGGGAGTGGGGTAGCAGGAAACTCCGTTTTCTCTGCACATATTTCAGCTTTTGCTGTCCTAGTATTTTTAGCAACTTGGCTGCAGAGGAGGAGCCTGGGTACATTTTTAAAGGGGCCTCTGCCAGACTGAAGGCCTCCTCCCACCTCACCCCACGTGTCATAAGGGAGAGGGGGAGAAGGCGCAGGGCTCAGGGGGTGTCTTCAGATTTAAAAACCAGGTGTGCCGGGCCTCACGCAGCACCTGGCAGCCCAGATCTCTGTGTGAGTTTTTATTACCACGAAGTCATCTTCATCAATAGGCATTATCAATCACCATCAGCATGGGTATCATTAGCAGCATTGTCAAGAAGAGTAAATATTTCTTAAACGTCTGCCATTTGCAGAATGCCGCTAGGTACACCAAATGATATGATCCTTATCTTAGAAGACTTAATAATCCACTTGGTAAGATGGGGGAAGGAACCAACACTTGTTGAGCGAGTATTAGGTGTCGTGTGTTGTGGCAGACGCCTTACATATGTGAGTTCGTTGAATTCTCACAACGAAAATGTCTAGAGGTCGAATAACTTAACCAACTTCACACAGTCATTAAATAGAAGAGTCTTGGTTAAAACTCAGAGCAGAATAATAACATTATCTTAAATCTGACAAGTGCTTTACAAAGTTCTTCCACATCCGTTATTTAATTTGGTGCTCTTGAGGACTGTGTGAGAAGGTATTACTATTTTTAACCCATTTTTCTGAGGCAGAAATTGAGGCCTAGAGAGGTTAAGTGACTTGTGACTTGTCCCGTACCAGATCTCTAGTCGACTGCTGAGCTAGGGCTAAAGCACGGGCATTCTGACTTTGAATTCTCTGTGTGTGTATGTTTTCACCTCTACACTGCTTTGTATGACTTCCAGGCTGCGTTTGCACTGGGCTAGATGTTATGGTTATTGTTGCTGTTATTGTTAGGTGCTGTTGAGTCAGTTCCGACTCATAGCAACCCTACGTACAACAGAACGAAACACTGCCCGGTCCTCAGCCATCCTCACAATCGTTGTTATGCTTGAGCCCATTGTTGCAGCCACTGTGTCAGTCCATCTCATTGAGGGTCTTCCTCTTTTTCCTGACCCTCTACTTTACCAAGCATGATGTCCTTCTCCAGGGACCAATCCCTCCTGATAACATGTCCCAAGTATGTGAGACATAGCCTCACCATCCTTGCTTCTAAGGAGCATTCTGGTTGTACTTCTTCCAAGACAGATTTGTTCGTTCTTTTAGAAATCCATGGTATATTCAGTATTCTTCTCCAACACAACAATTCAAAGGTGTCAACTCTTCTTTGGTTTTCTTTATTTGTTGTCCTGCTTTCCCATGCATACAAGGCAATTGAAAACACCATGGCAGGGATCAGGCACCCCTTAGTCTTCAAGGTGACATCTTTGCTTTTTAACACTTTAAAGAGGTCTTTTGCAGCCGATTTGCCCAATGCAATGCATCTTTTGATTTCTTGACTGCTGCTTCTATAGGTGTTGATTGTGGATCCAAGTAAAATGAAATCCTTGACAAATCCAATCTTTTCTCCATGTATCATGATGCTGCCTATTGGTCCAGCCAAAGCGCTC